GCGATGCAAGACTGGGGTGCCAGCTGTCACCTTTCCTCTTCAACTTCGCTACTGACGAAGTCATGTAGATCACGCTAACAGAACACGAATTAGGTGTGGAGCTGCTCCCAGGCGAACGACTTCTTGACTTAGAGTATGCTGATGACATTGCCCTAATCTGTGCCAGCTCCCAGGCGTGCCAAGCTGCACTGGACAGATTAGCACTATCTGTCAGTCGTTTCGGGCTATGGTTTGCATCACCGAACTGCAAAGCTTTCCTTCAAGATTGGCAGGGAACGCCTCATGTGCTGTCCTTTGTTGGGGATCAGCTAGAGGTCGTTCAAAAATTCAACTGCCTTGGAAGTTGTATCAGCGCCCGTGGGATTGAAGATGAGATCACCAACCGTATAGTGAAAGCTGGAGGCGCTTTTGCTAACCTTCACCGTTTATGGCGCCGACGTGACAACCTCCCTCCCTTAGGAGTGGTATGTACATTGCAGCGATACGTTCCACCGTACTGTACATTTGTTCAACCTTGCCAGTTTGCTGGGTTAGACATACAGTGTCTAGTTGCGTTCGACCACCGGTGCCTTCGTTGTTTAGCCCAAATATGTTGGGAACGCCGTGTGAGCAGTGAACGTGTTCGACGCCTTCTTTATGACGCAGAAAAAAGGAGCGAACCGCTCAGCACCGTTATTTCTCGCACCAGGCCCCATGTGGCTGGTTCATTTGTTGCTCATGCTAACCCATCGGCTCTCGCGACTTGCGTTGTTTGCGCGCCACGTGTGTGAATGGAAAAAGAGGAGAAGGGGCCAAGCGATGACTTGGTCGCGAGGAATGAATGCCCTTAGTTCGAAGATGGCCTCGGTTGGAGCCTCTCGGCTTCCTGATTGGTGTCCGAAGGACGATGAACTCGTTTGGCTGCATACACTTTCTGATATCGCAAGGAGCTGATTTCAGTGGCATTTCTGTTGTGTTTCTTCATCCCTCTTCCTGTTGCTTAGCATCTTCCTCCAATCACAATCTCATTTCCTAGGGTATTATAAATTTTACATAATATAAATTTTTTTACGGCACGATACTGGCTGGTTGCTTACCGGAACAATGCCGATCCGTTGCTGATGCCTCTGCTGATGTGGCTCGATTGCAGGATTTTTCTCCTTTTCTTATATATTGTTGCATAATAGCTGGGGTGTTTTCCACCTGTAGTTAATGTGAATAATGTATGACTCTTAATCCCATTGCTTCCAAAATACTTACCACTCCACTCTTGAGGAAACTCATTCTAGTTTGTGGACAGAACATGCGTGCAGAGCAAACTTGGTTTTTCCCAAGTCGGAGTTGTATCGATCACATCTTTGCCATCTGTCAGATACTCACGCGTCATTAAACGTTCGGCTGATCAGCAGTCCTTTTCTTCCTGGACATACTAGCCGCATATGACTCATCTGACAGCATTGCTTCCTGGAGTTCTCAATTAAAAATAGAGGTACCCGATTATTATGTTAGCATACACCAAGCCATCTATTCTTGTATCTGGCCGGATGAGGAGGTACGGTAAATTCCCCCCCCCCCGTTCCGTATCATCAGTGGCGTGATACAGGCCGCTTAACATCGCTCTTCCTGTTCCTCTTCGCTATAAACATCCTATAGAGTGTTCTAAACAAATGCGAACCCTGTGACGTAGGACTGTTTCTGAGGGACCATCTTCGCGGTTTGGATTATGCAGACGACATCGCTGTAATTTGCGGTTCCCCCTCGCCCGCACCAAGGAGGGCTGTGTAGGTGGGAAGTATCTGTTTTCCAGTTTAGAATTACATCCACACATCGGTGTGAGAATGCTCCTCCAGGAGTAGCTAGGAATTGCACTTACTCTTACTTTTTCTGGTCATCTTTTTGATATAGTGGACAGGTTCGTTTATCTCGGAAGCTGACTCAGCGCTAACAGTCTGAGGAATGTGGTCTCTGTGCGTCTCTAAAACTCGGTATGCTTCTTCTAATATTCCTCATCTCTGGCGTCCACGCAACCTAGTCTCTCTGAGCGGCTGAGTCTACATTACTACGGTGAGAGTGCTCCTATTCTTTTTACGCAAAAGATGTTCAGCGGTTGTCTTTGAGCACTTCTGCCTTCGGAGCGTTACTGATCTGTGATGATAACCTCACATTACTAATGTGGATGGTCGTCGAAGGAATTTCAGATCAGGCTAATTCTTTCTATTGCTGAACTGAGTTATCTCACTGTATATGCTGGGGTGGCTTGGGTAAATGCTTCGGATACCAGTTTAATGTTCAACTCGCCGTGCACTATTTGCGCGCGTAGAAGTCGGATGAAAGCGAAAACAAGGGAGCCAACGAATGACTTGGATCCCAAGTATAAAGTCACTAACCTCAAATTTGGCCGTGGTCGAGCGCTCTCAGATCACAAGTTCCACGAACATTCCTGGCTGACCTTTTTTGGGACACAGTATGAACTCGCATTTTGTTTTTATTTACACATTAGATAATTGCTTATTTTCACTCATCTGCTCCGATTAACCGAAGTCTACATTTTGTCGGCCCGTAGCCTAAAGGTAATGTGCTTGTCTTGCAATCTGACGACGCGGGTTCGAGCCTACGTAGGGGCAGGGCGATCCTTGAAGTATCCTTAGCTTGTCTACGACTGGTCACGCGGCAGCGAAGCAGACTCATCATCCTTCGGCGTTTGGCTCACGGTTTGTCGACTGGATTTTCTACCTTTTAATGGCGGGGTGCTTTTTATCTCTGGCATTCATACGTCGTACCGCGGAGTACACCCTCTGTATTTCTCAATGCGATTCGTGTTCATGTGGATACGATTGGTAGTCTGATGTCTTGTCTCATTTGACTATACAGAGACCATTATCATGCATATATATATATATATATATATATATATATATATATATATATATATATACGAATGGACAAAGAGCCATCGGAAACCATGGAACTCAAAAGAAGGTACAGTTGTCATACAAGGAAAGCCGGGTGCATCATGGTGAAATCCGTCGTTTCGTCAGATGGCAAGCTACTACCCGGTTGCCTAGGCCGAAGTAAAGAGTTGTCTTAGGCTAAATGACCTATCCACAAGGCAGCGGGGTAATTCAAGGAATCGCGCCCTTTGGAAACCGTTGACTGATCGCTCACTTCATACGCCTTCCGTTTGGTCAGTTGTCAAACTACGGCCAAGTCCTCCACACGATTTCAGCATCAAGTTGCGAGATACAATGCTACACCGGAGTGAAGCATGGAGCAGTGTCTTTATTTAGTGGCGAGTCACATCCGCCACGTCGCAGTGTTGTTAAACCGACATATGTGGCTTTTTGTTGGGAGAACGCTTGCTAGGCGAAAACCCACACATCCTGAAACACTGCCGTCGAACTATTTGCTGGAACAGTATAAACCCGAATCACCCAGCTGACACCACGAGAAGTTTGTTCGACAAACCAACTTAGTGTATTCGTAGAGTACACGAAGGCGTTCATATTGCAGTTTTCTCAGCCATGCAGTTCTCTCATCTTATCATCATGCATTTGTGGACCACATCACTTCGTGCACAGTGAGATCCTGTTGCCGAAGTACACACCATGATTTTATAGATCTCCACACATAAGTTGCGATTTCGTTAGTCATTTGATAGCCTTACTCAATTTGCAATTTGTTAGGTGATGGCTTCAATACGCATCATTATTCTCATTGTGGTCATGGCTGACGGTAGAGTTGGTCAGCCCTTTTGGTGCATCATTCGAATGTTTGCCTGTGCTTAACCGCCTATGTTGCTTAGGGCATGTGCTCCTTAGGTCCGTCGACTAGCTTCCTCGGCGTGCATTATACGCGCCGCCGCTGCACCAGGTTGCGCGAGATCGCTAGGTGTCCAGTCGATGGGGTGGCATAAAAGCATGAAAAAATTGACTGAAATACTTGCTCAGGCTAGTGCTTGCAGTCTTCTTGGATGGGGGCCCCGCGATGGTCCACCCCGGTGGTTAGAGACTATCAGACATGACACAGTCACGCGGTTCGTAGCTTTCCTGCTTTCGGTTTCTGGCATCCGGCCGTTGATTTCCCATCCGGATTGATTCTGCGCACTTTTCTCTTGATTCCCTCCTTTTTGCACTCCAATTTAACCTAATATTCTTGCTATTATTTGTCGTTATTCGGGTGATACGAGTCGTCGCAACTGGATCCACCTCACTTCGGTGTCCGGATCATAGTTGTTTGACTGAAGTGAACTTGTTAGTTGCATTCTGTTGAGAAGTCGGATGACAACACACTGCTAGTTGCGACATCGTACAATCGGTCCAATCACCCGTGCCAACATCAACTATTACGATCAAACATCGCAGTCCTATTTACTCATTTGGACTTAATGACTTCCAGTTAGAGTATAAGAGGAAACGTATTCCGGTTGAAACTATGCTACCCGGTGGATGAGGTTGTTATTTAATGAAATGTTCACCAACGTATGAAGAGGTCCGAAACGAGTAGTCACGTGAGTTTGGCAGTGCGATGAGCCCAAACATAAGCAGCTTGTGTGCTATGTCAGCGTGAACTCTTCTCCTCTGAGTACGTTGACTGTTCCCAACAGTCGTACATGGCCGCTTTGCTGTGCATGACGTTGCTTTGTCCAGTTAGTAACCCGGATATCTCGCACTCACCTGTCACATCTGACTGACAAACTCTTAGTTGCCCATGACACCTCTTCTTTAACTGTCACGCACAACTGACATCATGACTACCTTGTATGTACTCGATTCGTCATTATTTCTGGCTCGATCAAAACCCTCTTCTCCCGCCCTCTGTCATCATTGTCGTCTAATCTATCCAGCACTCGGCTTTCTTGTCACTCCCCATTATCACGAAAGGTAGAAATGCATATGAACATTACGGCGAACCGGCTTAACTGTTACTTAGCCTTTGAAAACCTCACGCTGTCTTCTGCAATCACACAAACATTTAGGTCATATTAAACCCGATCTTCCGCTGTTCGTTAAATTTCCCCACAGGAATCCATTCTTATCGTAAAAATGCGAAAGGGACAGCGTCTGAAATTGCGAGCCATCGCGAAAAAAGGGTTCGGCAAGGAGCATGCCAAATGGAATTCGACTGCTGGAGTTGCTTTCGAATACGATCCGGATAACGCGTTGCGTCACACGTTTCTGCAAAAACCGGAAGAGTGGCCCCGGTCGGAGTACTCATCTTTGCCAGAGAATGAGCATCAAGCTCCTTATGATCCGTTTGGAAAGGTGAGTGCGTACGCTCCGAGTTGTTGTCTGATGATTGTACTCAACGCTTACCTGCACATACGATTACCTATTCCCGTGTTTTGCGTTTTATCGTCCCATTGGTCGCATTAGGCTAACTATTCCCGTCCTCCGCGCTTAATGCGTGTACTGGTTATCAGGTTTTGGTATGTCTGCATATTTTAGAGGAGATGAACACGGGGACGATTGGTAAAAGTCAGTATCTATATCTTGTGGCGTTTTTGCCACCTATTCTTGCTATTTTCACACTTCGACAATGTCTCTTGCCATTGGGTTTGGGATTCATTGATACTTGAGCCGGCTAGCCACCGCTCCTAGGGGTCATCGCCACGCGTAAACAGAACATTGGATGGCTCTGTCTTTCATGTATGGAGTGCGTTTAGTGCAGATTTGTTTTAGAGCAGTCATATGCGAACTACAATCACATTTCGATCAGGTCCAGCAATAATGAAAAGATACTGATCACACTTTAGCGTCGTTAAACCAGTTTATGGTGAGAAGCCTGGGCCACTTCGACCACCCCCTCCCCAGCTGAAATGGGCTTCTACGTGAAGTAACGACGTCCCATCGGCTTTATCTTCTTAGTTCAAATTGTCTGTCGACCGATTTTGGTTGCGCATCAACTTCGGATTCGATTAAATACATTTCATTCTAGTCTATAAACTATGGTTTGAGAATGGAAGTGTGGCTAGTCCGGTTATCTTCGCTCACATCGACTCAGTGCTGAAATGCCCACTAGCGGGAAACATTCTACCATTTTCACTGATCGTTTTGCAAAGCAAAGTGGACACCGTATATTTCAAGCAGAAAGTCAACAGTTTGTTAGCAAATTTTGGTAAGGCGACTGGTCGATTTTCAAGCCGCATTGCGGTCGAACTAATGCAACCCGAATTGTGCAAGTAGCAGACTCTAGTGCAAGCTCTCCTCTTGATCATAAGCATCGCGACTCTCGATCAAAAGTGTCGACATAGTTTCCCCCTGTTTTCCTACTAGCCTTCACGTGTGTGTGTGTACATATGAACCTGTGCATTTGCACGACTATAAGAACAGTGTAAGTTGTTATGACTCCACTAAACCTCGCCTAGCTTTATTAGCTTACTCCTGCACGAACCAACCAAAATGAGCGACAAACCACAAGAAGACAGCGACGTTTCAAGCGAACGTCTTTGATGCAGAAAGAGATGCTTGCCAAGCGTGTTCGTCGACGGCAAAACCACCCATGAAGCTGCTGAAGTCGCTGATGTCAACGAGAGCACGACAAGAAACATCATCGATGCACGTGGGTGAGAATGTACCATTGCTCAGTGCGTGGAGGGAAAAAGGTATCTGCAGTGCGCTGGTACGCAGTACCGACGCTTCGGTGCCGCCCAACCACCAACAGTTGCGTGAGCTACGGATACCGCGGCGCTCGCCTGGTTCCCTATGCCGGCTCGAACGCGCGCCCTCGGATTACAAGGCTGGTGTGTGATCATTTAAGCTACAGGTCGGGAACTGTAGAGAGAAAACAACGAGGAGAAACGGACTCCCGAATGAACGGATAAATTGTATGGAAAATGCATCGATGAACAATAGACTTGCTCCAACAATGACACGCCAGCTATTCGCCTACTAAGTAACACTTAGGATATGTGGTCATATATATACATATATATATGCTTGTTCTGAAAGTAATCTCGTTCTTTGCCAACATAAGATTTGCTTCTATGTTTCTCACAGCCAACTTCACAAGCCGCGTTTTTCTATACTTTAACAGCTGATATAGCAAGGATTGCTTGCGTAAAAGTTCAACTGATTCTACGCAGTAGTTTTGATTGGTGCCCTTGCAAATATGTGAAATGAAAAGCATCATTTTCGGCATATTTTGTTTCTTTCCTATCGAAATGGTAAAAATTCTGATCAAGCAGGGAAAAACTTATCTGGTGTACATGGGGATGATGTATTGACAGAACGCTAGTGCCAAAACTGGTTAGCGAAATTTCGATCCGGCAACTTTGAGGTTGAAGATTCACCACGTTCTGGAAGACCGGTTGAAGCGGAGGAAAGCACAATGAAAGAACTAATTGATGCATATAAATAAATAAATAAATAAATAAATATTTTATTCTCGACTATGCGAGGCACGCTCATGGAGGCATGATCAGTCGGTGAATAACAACTTGTGAGATCGCCGAGAGATTAAATTTGTCGAATCCGATCCTTCATGATCATTTGAAACGCCTAGGTTTAGTCTCAAAGCTCGACATATGGGTTCCACATGTTCTTACGGAACAAAATATGTGCTATTGCTTTGGCGTCTGTGATTTAGTTGTAAAATGATCCATGTTCTAATCGTATCATCACTGGAGACGAGAAATGGGTGGTCTACAACAACGTTAAAAGCAAGAGATCATGGGGTAAAAGCAAACTTGAACCGGCTCAAGGCACTTCGAAAGCTCCGATATTCATCCAAAAAGGTGATGCTATCTGTTATGATGGGATTTCAAAGGGGGTCGTTTTCCAGATTCTACCGGCCAAAACAACGATCAATTCGGAAGTGTACTGCTATCAGCTGGACACATTGAATGTGTCAAGTTAAAAAGGGCGGCAATGATCAATAGAAAAGTTGCAGTGTTCCATCAAGGTACTGCAAGACTTCATACAAGTTTGCTAAACCGCCGAAAAGTTTTACAGCCTGGATGAGATATACAGTCACAGTCGTCATATTCTCCAGATCTGACACCTTCTGAGTATTATTTGTTCCCGTCTATACACAATTTTAGACGGTAAAACGTTACTACAAATGAGCAGGTCAAAAATCACCTGGGTCAGTTTTTTGTCAGTAAACAATAAAAATTTATGAGTGTAGAATCATGCAACTGTCAGAAAGATGGCAAAAGCTATTGGACCAGGATGGAAAATAAATACTTTAATAAAAGATTCACTAATTATAAGTAAATCGTTTTTCATTTTCATCGAAAAGATCGAAATTACTTTCCGAACAACCATATATATATATATATATATATATATATATATATATAATGCTTAGACTGAGACGAAAGGCAGTGACAGTCGGATTCCAACTGAAGTCTTAATAATCACATTGCCTAAGTGTTATTTAGTACGCGACTAGCTGGCGTCACTGTTTGCACAAGTCTACTGTTGATCGATGCATTTTCGATGCAATTTATGCGTCCGCTTTCTGAGTTGGCCTTTTCCTTTCTTCGTTTATTTATTATCAGGTCCCTCTTTTTCTGTGTTAATATTTTTTCCATGTCTTCAATTATTTTCCAGCCGAACCGCTTCTTCTTCAATGTGGAATCCTGTGGCTCTCTTCAACCCAAGAATATCGTGTTCTCTGCTCTGGATGTGTTGAAAAAGAAGTTGCAAAATTTATTGGATAATCTGACACAGGAAAGTTTTTGAATCCCCTATCACCTATGCGCCTCATTGTGTACATACAATTCCATCCTTACCCCCGCCTTATTTTTGAGCGGCACCTGCGTTATAACTGTTACTTTAAAGAGTATTATGGGTTATTTCGTCTTTCAAGTCAAGTCAACCATGGGCTTTATGCACCCATAAAGAGTAAGCATTCAGCTACAACACACACGACAATCGCGACGAGACTGAACCTTAACGTGGTGCGATGGTTTGTAGGCTTCAGTGATCCATTGAGCTATGCTAGGTGGTGCATATTTGCAACTTCAGAGCCACTCACACCAGATTGGTCAGTGGTTAGAAGCCAGACAAACTCAAGTTGGGGGTTGGAGTGAGGGTGGCTCCTTACTCCATAAATCGCCTATCTGTGGTCCAGTGCCAAAACCCCGCTGCCTTGCGGTAGGATTTTTGAACCAAAAGACTTTTGTTGAGTACACTAATCGTTCTCCTGGGCAACCTGACAGTATTCTGCCCACGCAATACAATGAACCTTTCCTACAACAATTTCTTGATGCTCCGGCCGTCGCAGAGGATAATAAACGGCGCCCTATCTGCTGCATCGAGCAGTGTGGATAGGGGTATGGATTCTACTGCTCAGGCCTTCTTGTCCCCCTTTCGCTTTTTTCATCCTTATCGTTCCGCTCCAACTTTACTTTTATCCCCGCATTCTCACACCGATGTGTGGATGTAATTCTAAACTGGAAAACAGATACTTCCCACCTACACAGCCCTCCTTGGTGCGGGCGAGGGGGAACCGCAAATTACGGCGATGTCGTCTGCATAATCCAAACCGCGAAGATGGTCCCTCAGAAACAGTCCTACGTCACAGGGTTCGCATTTGTTTAGAACACTCTATAGGATGTTTATAGCGAAGATGAACAGGAAGAGCGATGTTAAGCGGCCTGTATCACGCCACTGATGATACGGAACGGGGGGGGGGAATTTACTGTACCTACTCATCCGGCCAGATACAAGAATAGATGGCTTGATGTATGCTAACATAATAATCGGGTACCCCTATTTTTAATTGAGAACTCCAGGAAGCAATGCTGTCAGATGAGTCATATGCGGCTAGTATGTCCAGGAAGAAAAGGACTGCTGATCAGCCGAACGTTTAATGACGCGTGAGTATCTGACAGATGGCAAAGATGTGATCGATACAACTCCGACTTGGGAAAAACCAAGTTTGCTCCGCACGCATGTTCTGTCCACAAACTAGAATGAGTCTCCTCAAGAGTGGAGTGGTAAGTATTTTGAAAGCAATGGGATTAAGAGTCATACATTATTCACATTACCTAAAGGTGGAAAACACCCCAGCTATTATGCAACAACATATAAGAAAAGGAGAAAAATCCTGCAATTGAGCCACATCAGCAGAGGCATCAGCAACGGATCGGCATTGTTCCGGTAAGCAACCAGCCAGTATTGTGCCGCAAAAAATTGTATTATGTAAAATTTATAATACGCTAGGAAATGAGATGGTGGTTGGAGGAAGATGCTAAGCAACAGGAAGAGGGATGAAGAAACACAACAGAAATGCCACTGAAATCAGCTCCTTGCGATATCAGAAAGTGTATGCAGCCAAACGAGTTCATCGTCCTTCGGACACCAATCAGGAAGCCGAGAGGCTCCAACCGAGGCCATCTTTGAACTAAGGGCATTCATTCCTCGCGACCAAGTCATCGCTTGGCCCCTTCTCCTCTTTTTCCATTCACACACGTGGCGCGCAAACAACGCAAGTCGCGAGAGCCGATGGGTTAGCATGAGCAAGAAATGAACCAGCCACCGGGGCCTGGTGCGAGAAATAACGGTGCTGAGCGGTTCGCTCCTTTTTTCTGCGTCATAAAGAAGGCGTCGAACACGTTCACTGCTCACACGGCGTTCCCAACATATTTGGGCTAAACAACGAAGGCACCGGTGGTCGAACGCAACTAGACACTGTATGTCTAACCCAGCAAACTGGCAAGGTTGAACAAATGTACAGTACGGTGGAACGTATCGCTGCAATGTACATTCTACTCCTAAGGGAGGGAGGTTGTCACGTCGGCGCCATAAATGGTGAAGGTTAGCAAAAGCGCCTCCAGCTTTCACTATACGGTTCGTGATCTCATCTTCAATCCCACGGGCGCTGATACAACTTCCAAGGCAGATGAATTTTTGAACGACCTCTAGCTGATCCCCAACAAAGGACAGCACATGAGGCGTTCCCTGCCAATCTTGAAGGAAAGCTTTGCAGTTCGGTGATGCAAACCATAGCCCGAAACGACTGACAGCCAGTGCTAATCTGTCCAGTGCAGCTTGGCACGCCTGGGAGCTGGCACAGATTAGGGCAATGTCATCAGCATACTCTAAGTCAAGAAGTCGTTCGCCTGGGAGCAGCTCCACACCTAATTCGTGTTCTGTTAGCGTGATCTACATGACTTCGTCAGTAGCGAAGTTGAAGAGGAAAGGTGACAGCTGGCACCCCAGTCTTGCATCGCTAGTGCTGACAACAGCTTGCCATAAGACGACCTCACTATGCGTGAGATATAAGCGTATAGCACACGGATAATATTCATGTAATACTCGGGAACACGGTCACTTAATAGATAGTCCGAAAGGGCACATCGATAAACCGAATCGAAGGCAACTTCGATGTCGAGGAACACGTGTACGGTGGGCGGACAATATATGTGACGGTGCTCCAACAGTTAACGCAAAGTAAAGATGTGATCGATGCAGCCACGACTCCGACGAAACCGGCCTGCTCCTCACGAAGTTGCCTTTCACGAGTGCTAGTCAATCTGTGGAGGATAACAAAGGCAATCTATTTGGAGGCGATGGAGATCAGGCTGATTCCTCTATGGTCGCCGCATTCCGATCGTAAGACTCACTTGAAGATTTGGACTATGACGGAGCGGCTTCAGTCGGTTGGGACAATTCCCTGCTCCCAGTTTCACTAACAACACATGTAAATGTAAGAGCAGGGCCCCCAATTCGAAGAGAACTGGATAAAGATTATCTGGTCAGGCGGCTTTATTCAACATCAACAGTCCGATCCCACGTTCGACTTCTGAGGGAGAGGGCGAATCCAAAGGGACAGCTCACGGAGCACGGCGATCAGCGGCCGACAAGGAATTTAACAATTCTGGTCGATTAAATTGCTTTTCAAAATGCTCAGCCCAACGCTCCAAGCGTTTTGACAAGTTGTGGATAGGCTGTCCACTCTCGTCACGTATAGTTTCACTAACATCAGGTCTCCTGCTGCCCGTTCATCTTCACAGACAGAACAACTTCCGATGGTTACCAAGATCAGCGGTCACTCATCTCTGACGCACGATGAGACCACCAGGACTCGCGGTCTCTCTTCAGGCCAGCACGCAGATTCGCTCTGAGGTCTTTGCGAGTTTCGTTGTGTTCGCTTCCAGCCGGAATGCACCGGCGAACATGGCTAAGTTCCAAAGACTGCGAAACGACCCAATGTCCATATTGGCTATCAGACTTATAACATGAGGATTTGCCTGCTGCAGTAAGGTCCGGTGAAGATGCGACCAGTGACCTTCAACTGTCTCCAGTGAGCGCTTACTCAACCCGCATGTCAGCGTACTTCGATAGGCATTCAGGACATCCGGCTTCCTCAGCTGGTTGATGTCAATACACTCACAGGACCGTCGTGGGCGTCCGCCAAAACGCATCAGCAGATCAGTACATACAAGTCACCATACATGTTACCTAGAGGTGCGAAACACCTCGGCTACTGTACCGCAATACATAAAAGTGCATGTGTATGTATGTAATCGCAACAGTCTGGCAACTGGACATAGAGCCAACGAAAAGCGTGGAGATTAGCGGATAAGGAGAAGTTACCATGTCATAATCACTGTGGCACTGTAGTTGAAAGTGAGCAACACATTTCAGCTACTATGCCACCGGGAAAAAGGAACATTTCCACAAAAAGCAGAACATTCTTAGTTTGTTTTTCACACGCCGATTTTTCTCTTTTTTGTCATTTTCAATGTTCGAATTATTAAACATTTGAATCATTACCATTCTGCACACAATTCTTCCACTGATTCCGGTTGCCTGCCATGTCTTCAAGAGTGTTAAGCCATAGGCACTCCTCATCTTTGGGTCTCCGTCCTGGAAGACGTACGGGTTCAACAGCAGCTAGACACGACGTCAGCGATTTCATGTGCTGTCGCCAAGTGGAAGGCTGACGACCACGCAGTCGCGTCGTGCCAGGTCCTTGACGAGCGAATAGAGTACGACGCGGTAGACGCTCAGGTGCCATGCGTAGGACGTGACCGAGCCATCTCAACTGCCGTAGAAAAAGCAGTTTGTTAAAGGGAATACTCACATTCCCCAACATGCGACGCTGGACGTTATTACTGTTAACAAGATGTTGCCACCAAACATGAGCAATCCTCCTTAAGCAACCGTTATCGAAGGCAGAAAGACGGCGTATGTCTTCTACGTGAATCGACCAGGACTCGTTCTCACACAACAATATTGAGCGAACAGATGCGCTATGAACGCGGCCCTCTAGCGAGAATGAGACGTCGCGACGAGGCCACAAGTGCCTCAGATTGACAAATGCTGATCGAGCTTTAGCGATGCGAAGAGAAATTTCTTTGCTGCCAGTGCAGTCAGCAGAAACACAGCTCCCAAGGTAGACGCAACTATCCACCTGTTCAAGTTGTGCACCTTCGAGAGTGAGCACGGGAGCAGGTGAAAGCCAATCCTGAAGCAGTACTTTACACTTCGATGGGGCAAAGCTCAAACCATATTTAGATGCCTCAACCGCCAAACGATCCAGAATTAGTTGCATACCCTGAGGATTGTCACCAAGTAAGGCGACATCATCAGCATAATCTAAGTCGGTAGCGCGCTTATCCGGTAGAAGCTTTAGACCAAATTGATGGAAAGCTAGAGCAATCGACAGAACGTCTTCGAATGCGAAGTTGAAGAGTTGAGAGTTGAATGAGGATATAGGGTAGCCCTGTCGCATACCGCTTTTGACAGCGAATCGTGAGGAATATTGGCAATAGACGCTCA